CACTTAAGCCGTTGTCCGTGGAGAGAAACCTTGAGTCAGAGGTATTATTTCTCAAAGGGAAGAGCTGAGATCTTCATTTTGTATTGCGGAACGACATATATAGAATCAAAGGGCAGAATAATTACATTTTGATCAGTCAGTATTGTTTTATAAAAGGTTGTAAGTAATTCATCTTACAAGATTTTGGCTTTCTAGTATAAACATTTTTACTATAAATTAAGTTTTTTTAAAAGCAGATATTGATTACTTTGCTTTGCCCAATTCAATGATTTCATACAATCATGCAAGCCTTTAACCAGGAAGCTTCGCTCACTCATTACAAAGTCTTGACTACATCTTGAACATTTCCAGATAATATTTCAGGAATTAGCTTACAAATCGAATTAAATAAGCGACTGAGCAGCGGCAGGAACACAAACACAAACACGAACAACCAACAACACGACCTACTTGTGCGTTTTTCAACTTGACTGCACCGCAGAAATAACAACAAGAACAGCAACAACAACAAAAACAAGAACAAAAACTGTAACAACAACAACAACAAGAGCACTTGGTGGAACAATAAATTTATGGCTTTTAAAAATGTTTAACTCAAACTTCCCACCCCAACGACCAAAATGTTAGCCATGTTTGCGGTGGTTGCTTTTGCTTTTGTGTCGCAGATTTATGGCCGCCAAAAGTGGGAAAAGGGGGGAAAATGGCTAAGGAAAACTTCACAGTGGCAGCAGTAGCGGCAGCGGCAGCGGCAGCAAATAAACTTTACGATTTTCTAGGTAGTCAAATTGAATAAATGTTAAGACAACTGCCGACTCTGCCCGCCGGCAAAGAGTTGATTTCGGTCCAATCCTGGGGATCCGAATTCAATTCCGAATCCGCGTCCGAAAGGATTGCCTTTCCACCTGACGTTCGGCAGTCGCCGTTCGGGGCCGCCTTTCACCTCCAGTTTGGCGGGGCCAACAATCAAACATGAGACCCAACTCCAAACTTCCGGCTGACGCAATCCCCCAACCTTTGAGCGCCATCAAATGTCGGTGCGAATTTCATTAAAATAAACTTTTTCTACAAAACTCGCGCGCGCTCAGCGAGTGTATTTTCATTTTATTTGCACGGCCAAACGACACCGAGAAAAAAAACGATGTGAAATCACGGCCCGCCACTTTTGGCTCTCAACCCCCGACCTCAAGCCTCTGCTACCCCCTGCCACATTTTGGCCCTCCCTTCTTCCAATTGGCTTGGTTTTTATGGTCGTCGGCAGTTTTTACGGCCACCAGAACCAGAACCAGTGGCATTTGCCTCATTTCACTCCTGAGCGAGATCTCTCTAATTTGAATACCTGGCTGAGGACGAGAATCTGTTCGGTAATTTCTGGCGGCGCTCCGCCGCGAGTTTCGCCGATAACATTTGCATCGCTCTTTATTGCTTTTAAATGTTTGCCGGCCGCCCAGCGAAAGGCTTTCGCCATAAAAACTAGAAGCTGCAAGGGAAGAGCAGAGAAGAGTAGGGAAAAGGAGCCCTGAAATTTTGATATACGAATTGTTTTTACTGCCGCAGGCATTGGCAAACTTCTGGCCCAGATTCCGCCCACTCAGGCCCCGTGGCAAGAACCCCCAATTACTTATCAGCGAGTGTAGTCATCCTATGCAGCGGGATTGCCAGGTGAAAGGCACGAGGGGAAGGGGAATGGGGAAGGGGGACAGATGGGAGGGGCCGTGGAGTGCACCTGACCCGCCAACGGATGATGAACTGGTGGACAGGAGAACAGGAGAAGGGGAGTCCGCGGCACTGAGTGCGAGTGCCAAGAGCTAAGTGCCGCTTCCGGTGGTCGCTGCTCCACAAAAAAGCTGCAGGTCCGAGCCATAAATTGCCAGGCAAAAAGCTGAAAGACTTACACTGCACCCCCATTACCCAACCTCCGGATGAAATTTACTCCGGCTGCAGTGAAAGAAATGCAGTGGCTTAGGGTTTTATAAAAAAAAGTACAACTTTTTGAATAATTCAGAAAATAAATACAGCTAACAGTGAACTTCTGAAATGGTGGAAATAACCATAATATATGAAATCGAATGTTGAAATGTTGAAGCTATTGGAGTTTGATTATTTTTATCAAGTGTTTGTGCAATGAATTTAATTATCAAAAGTTATTAGTTATTATTATTATTTTTTCTCAAGTCTCCGTACCAAAAGTTTCGTTTATTAATAGAAACCAAAATGTGGTACCCATAACATATTATACTTAACAGATTTTTTCACTTATATTATAAACTATTTATGCGCAGTTTAATTTAAAGTATTTTTTATTTTTCCAATCAATTCTTAATAGATCTGTTCCTAAAAGCGAACATATATTTTAAGCTTTACGATGCCTAAAGTGCGGAGTGAAATCGCAAGACTCTCGCTTCAGCCATAAAGGATTTTAACATCGTTTTCCTTTACTCGCAACGTTAAATTTCTTAGTGCCAATTAAAAGTGACATGTTTGGTGGAATTTTCTCTGAGTGCAGCCAAGTCCCCGCCCCCTGCAAACGGGAGCCATCGTCGCCTGGGCCCCAGTTATTGTTGCAATTAATAAGGACGTCGCCAGCGGCAAAAAGCGACCGGCGTCTGCCGTGCGTTGCCACTTGGAAGTGGCTGTGGATGTGGATGTTGAAGGGTATGGGGATGGGGATGTGGATGGTGGCCACTCATCAGCGGATGCAGGAGGATGACCCCTGGACACCCATAGCCACCAAATAGCCATCCCCCCTCACCTCAGAGGGAATATTTACTGCCCAAGGAGAGCGACGCGGAGCGGGATGAGCAACTGCAGCAGCCGAGTAAAATGTCCTGTGCACATTACATTTGCATTGCAGCTACAAGCATTTCGCATTTACCGCGGCAGCAACAAAGGAGGCCCAGATGGTTGCGGGGGATGGGGATGGGTGATGGGGAACCGGATCCGGAGGACTCCGGGCGGAGTAGAGGCGGAGTCTAACAATGGACGGGCAGAAATCTCGTCGCCAGCGTCGCTAACAACTCGTAGCATTGCAGCTGCCAGATGTGGTAAGAATAGAGATGTGACGCGGAGTGGGAGGTGGTTCTACTGCTGGTTGGGTGGTTCCACTGCTGGTTGGGTGGTTCTATGGGTGGTGCAGGGCAAGTCGAGAGCAACATTTATTGTTTGCAAAGCCTTGTTTATTATTTTACGTGCATTTCTCTTGCCAGCTTCTGATTCTGCTTCAGATCCAGCTCCAGCCTCGGCAAGGACTCTTTATGATTCACTCGGTCGCTCCTTTTGGTCGAGGACATTTTGTAAATAGCAATGCAGTGGCCCGACCGCCTGACTTGGACTTGGACTCACTTGGACTCCTCCTCCTCCACCTCCTCCTCCGGCGCAGGCTGCGATTTTATTCACTCGCCGCTGTTTATGTGACCCGGATCATCCAGGCTCCCGTTCTGGTGCGCCTCGTCTTGGTTTTGGCTCTGCTCCTCGCTCCTCGCTGCTCGCTCCTCGCTCCTCGGTTCTCGATGCGGTTTCTTTATGTTTTTAATGCCGTGCGCCAAAAGTCCTTTTGTTTGTACACTTGTACTTTATGTACCGAGCGAAATTTATGCGCCGCTAAGTGGATTCGTGGATTCGTGGATTGGAGGATTCTGGGATTCGAGGATTCGCGGATCCGTGGACTGCACCCCGCAGCAGAATCTCGGCTCTCCCGCTTCCGGTTCCTGCATTGTTGCCTGCCAAACAGGAAATGCAATCCGCGCCATCCATAAAACTTGTCCGAAATCTGGCGAAGTATTCCCCCCCCCTCCTCCCCCAAAAATCCTGAGCTTCAAGACGAGAGGGCATTACAATTATCCGCGCGTGTCCGAGTCCTTGACTGCCTCCTTATCCGTTCATTTATTGCGCCATCGAAGTAGGAAAAAGAATTTGCGTTTGCCCGGAATTAAAGTTGGCCCTTCGGCCAGACGCAATGGACATAAAGTCGCGGCAAGTGCAAATCCTCAATTAACACGGGAACAAAACGAAACTGCGCGGAGTCCTGCGAAGAGGATGAAAAGGTGATTTCTGCTGCTAATTGGAAATCGAGGGGGGAGGCCGACCTCGTCGACCGGATGAGATAGACACTGACCCGCCCAAGAAGACCCGAGAATCCGAGAAAACGTCACAAATGTTTGTTCTTTTGCAGGAAATTAAGGCGAAATGTAACAATCGAATTAGGCCGAGTTTTGTGGGGGGAAAACATGGAGGCAAAAGGCCAACTGCGTGATACGAAACCGATTCGCCACGTTTCGTTGGCGTTTAAAAGGATCGAAACCGAAACAACCATTTGACCTTCAGTGGCACTGGGAGCCCAAACTTCAAATTGATTTTTCATATTCATTGGCATAATGCTCACAGCGATGGGTGGAGATTGGGGAGCGAAACAGCGGAACAGGACCAGCAATTCTCATAAATTATACATGCTCCACATAAACTAAAGTGAAAAATGCGAGGGCAATGCCAAAAAAAGGGGGTCGAGCCGAGCATTTAACTGTATATTTGAAATATTTTAAATATAAATTTCAATATTTAACTGCGCCCGCCGACAGGAAACGGTTGCCGGACAGCACGCCAAAACAACTGCGGATGCGGAATAAGGGAGCGGAAAAGGGACCCCGGAGCACAGGACACAAGGATACAGGGATACGGGGATGCAGGGATACGGGACACGAGCCAGGAGAGCGGAAATGATCCATCGACCCTCGTGCTGTCGTCCCAAAACGGCTCTTGCCCCAAAAAAAGAAGAAAAAAAAAGGTTTCCTCTGCCCGCAGTTCGGTCCAGACCACAAAAACGTTGAAAATATTTGTGTTTCCACTTATTTGCATTAATGCCACGAACCGATTTACTGTCTGTCCATCTGTGGAAGGCCGTATTTGTGGGTTGGGTGGGACGCCCCCCAAAAAAACCATTCGAAACACAACCACCGAATGCCGAACACACGGGTTCAGGCCAATAAATATGTGTGACTTTCGTTGGCATCCCGTCGCCTTTCCGTTTAACATCTATCTCTAGTTTAGTTCATAGCATTTTTAGATTTTTCAACAATAAAAAAAAAAAAATAAAAAAATACCACCCCACCTACCATTTCAAAAATCTAAACACTGGCAATGCACGTGGCCCCCTTCGAACTGAACTAAATTGTGAGTTAACAAGCGCTAAATGGCAAACTCGAGATCTTTGAAAAGCAGCAACTGGCCCGGAATCTTGGACTCCAGACACGCGCTGAAGAAGTTTTTCCAGCCGAAGCACAGGCTGCCCCCGCTAAATGCGGAGATCCAGGAAAGACTGCCCACCTTTGATCCGCCGAATTTCGCGGGAGCTGCACCGAAACTGCGACCCCGAATGAACTCCGACTGGCAGTTGGCCAGTGATCCCTGTGATCCCGCGAACGTCTGCGGACCCAAACGAGTGAAGGGACTGAGGGACCGCGAGCGGAAGAAGCTGGAGCGCAAGATCTGGGCCAGGCCCGCCAAAATTGTGGCCACCACCCCGGGCACGAGGAGTCCGGAGAAGCCGGAGGCGAGGAAGAAACCCGTTTCACCACGAAAGCTGGTCGGCCAAGCCAAAGCGAAGCGGACGAAGGTGAATGCGGGGGTTCCGCTCAAGCGGAAGCTGCATTCCCAACCCTTCTCCTTTCGAGCGCCGCGGCGCAAGAACATCCTGGTCGTGGACGCCAAGAGGCATCCGTGGAAGGAGCAGCTGGGGCATTTGGCTGGCGGAGCGGAGGAGCTGCCGCAGGGATCTGCAGCTGGGCGGGAGGCCGGCGGGCAGCGACCCGTCTTCAGGAAGACCTGTCGGGCTAAGAAGAAGTCCTTCGGCGTGCCGCTGTGCAGTCGGCCCACCGAGATCATGGGCGTGGGCCTGCCCTACTCCCGCCAGGTGCAGATGCGGCAGGCGAAGCTCTACCAGCAGCCGGAGTACCACGACCAGTACATGCGGATGCTCTACCAGCAGCAGCGCCACCAGCAGATGTACCGCCAGGAGAGGATGCAGCAGGACTTTGTCCAGCACCCCTACTCCCTCATCCCGGGAGCCTTCTCCGAGGAGCAGCAGCAGCAGCAACAGCAGCAGGAGCAGAGGAACGTCTACTCGGTGCCCTCCAAGTCGCCGCTGAAGCGAGTGAAAGCTGGAAAGCGGATGTGCGGCAACTTTTACTACGACTAAAACGGTGGCGTGATCAATAAAAGACTGCCAGGAGCCTAACTTCAAATGTTTTATGTTTTGTGATAGCTAACAAAATTAATATAGCATTGGGAACACAAAGTCCTAGCTGAGTTTCAGTATTCGCATTAAGATTTCTAAAGTAAAAGGAACTCTTTGCATTAGTTTGTTTTAGAATATTTCTTGATTAAATACAGTTCTTATTTTATTGAACCCAAAATGCGTTAGGAAAATGCATTGATTTACTTAGAACTATAAGGCGACATTGATATTACCCAAAATATAATAATACTCAAATGAGTTTTTTCGTTCCATTGTCAAGTTTGCTGTTTTGCAACACAAGTTTTCAATCGCGACTCAATAGTTTTCTGCTTACTTATAGACTGTAAGCAGTTTCTTTTTTAATCATGCAAATATTGAATTCAAAAATGTAATGATCAACATTTAAAATAAAATTCATTAAACTGAGTATTTGAAGGAGTAAAATTTCCGGAACCAGATTTTAATTATACTTAGAGAATAATACCCCGAATGTTTGTGATTTCTTCAGAATTTAGCTGAGAAAATGTTCATCTTAGCTGACTATCAATATCAAGTTGCATCATCTGAGGCGAAAAACTCGAGCTGGCATCCTGCACGCACTTTACGGATTCACCTGTTTAGCCATGGCTTTTCCTGCCGTTTTCCATGACCGCCTGCCCTTCAGTGACCCGAGAACTTTCCGGTATTTAATATACTCGAAAGTACTTTGCAGTGGGAGGCGATGGGGGTGGGGTGTGGGGTGTGGGGTGTGGATGGAGGGGGTGGCCTTTGCACGCAGATACAATTAAAATCGAAACGAGGCAACAATGCAAACTGGCGAACAAACAGGCAAACACAAGCCAAGCGGCGAAACACAGCAATGGAAACGAGCAAATAATGAAGTGGATAAAGTTTGCTGAAACACTGAGTTTCGAACCGAGTTCCAAATACGAAATTGAACCAAACCGAACAGCACGGGATCCGTGTGGAAAGGACAGGAGCAGGAGGAGGAAAAGGAGGAGCTCGGGAGTTGGGAAGCTGGATAGCAAATAGGAATAGAAATAGCGATGCGGAGGGAAACCTATTCTGTGTATAATTCAAGGTATCAGGCATCGGAAGAGGGTCGAAGGGAAGTGAAAGCGTGGCAAAACAACATGGGAAAACTTTTGTAATTACAATAAAATTTTCACAAATAACTTGCAATTGTTTGTGTTGGGCGAAGTTAGGCGAAAACACAAGGGTGGCTGGGGGGTCCTTGAATCGCAGCGAATGTGTTAATTTTGTTGTGTATACCAGTTAGATGCCCGCCCCCACATTCTGCCACTCTAAGATGCAAAAGTGCCAAAAGAAAATGAAAAGAAAACACCGCAAAAATGTCTCCTTGAGTTCTAAAATAACCCCCATCCCCCCCAGCCCCTCCCGCCACGAAATAAATTAAAATATAATTAAAAAGAGAGAGCAAACAAAAAGTGAACTGCGAAACGTGGACCGGAATCGAAATCCATCCGCCTGAGAGCTCCTCAGAACCGGAGATTGCGTGCCTGGCCAATCCAGAATTGTGTATGGAACATTGTTTGCAAATTAATCTTCGAAAATGTCTGAGCAATGTGGGTGTGGACGTGGGTGTGGATGGGAAGGGGTCTTCCTCACCCAGAAGTTGCCTAAGTATTTGCCTCAGTTTCCCTGTTCTATCTTATTTATGAGCCGAAAGTGGATAGCTCATTTTTCAAACAAATATTTATGCTTCACTTGTACGGTATGCATGCCAAAATATTTGCTTTTCATTTTTATAAAACTGCGGGCGGTGCGAGCGGCTAGGTTATTTAGCAAGTACGTGTTCGGCAGAGAATTAAAGAATAAATACGAAATGCATTCCGGAGTTAATCCAGTTACTGACAGGTAAATTGAGGTGTGGAAATGCAAAGCTTACGAATCAGCACACCGGTACGGCAAAGAGAATCAACAGCAGTGGGCAAATATTGGCAGCAACAATGGGGAAAATCTAGTTAAACCATTCGGCCTCACAAGGAAAACCCACTACCCCTTAAATCCCTCGAACCCCGCACCCCCCACCAACCATTTGGCAAACAACGTAGGCAGAGGGCTCTCAAAGAAAATTTAGGGGGCGGGGAAAAATGGAGGGGGGAGGTAGGAGGGGGGAGGCAAATGAAACTGAAGATTACGAATGTCTGCTGTTCGAAGCCCCATCTCCAAAAATAAGAATAACGCAGTACACAAGCAGGAAAAACAAGTGAAGAGTGGAGAAGGGGCACACTCGGAGAAAAACCTCTGCCAAACAATTGTGGCGAATTATTGAGTGGAGGTAAACTGTTTAACATTATATCACGCACATATAAGCAGACTTAGTTGCAAGTATCTTTGAGATACATTTCCGAGAATGTTAAATGGTTTTAGTTAACTCTAAAACGTCTAAATCTTTGTTACTTTTATTTAAAGAACTTTTTTAAACATAAACTGAAATAGTTGAATTTTAGGAACATAATCATTTGCATATTTAAGCATCAGATACATGTACATTTTGGCTCATATTTCATTAGATAGTTTTTGGTACTGTATTTTTTTCTGTATTAAAAGAACACTCATTTCTTATCAGTCAAAGAATAAAGTTGTTAATAATATTTTGTAGTAGTTCACTCTTCAATGTGATGAAATCTGCTTACCTAATTCCTAAAAAATGTATCTTCATTTTCCTCAGTGGGGGAAAAGGGAAGCGCTTCCGGGACAGGGGAAAGTGAGGTGTATATGCAGACCTCGATTCACGATTGATGTGGCGGATCCTGGCAGCAGGCGGGAATGCGAGCAGCCGAGGAGCCGAGGGTATTCGAGCCTTGATGGATGGATGGAGGCTTAGCTTAGGAGCGATGTAGCTTAAGCCCGATGCTCCCAATTGGAGCCTTAGAGCCTTCGTGGCAGGAGAGGAAAGGGGGGACAGAATCCGAGGGGAGGGAGGGGATTCAATGCCTTGGGTACATAACTCTCGTTGTCGTTTATTGATTTGTTTTGCCCCCAGCCAGCGGCCCAAGGCGGGTGATACATAGCCCAAAAGGAGAGCCGCCGAAGGTGCCGACTGGCAAGGACTTCCCTCGTCCGCTGCATCTGCCGAATGCGGAAGAACAGGAGGATTCGAGAATTCGAGAATTCGAGGACACCGAATGACGTGCAGAAAGACAAGGCGAGCGAATTCATCGCCACTTTTGGTTGGGTCATTCCTGTTTCTCTTACTTCATTTTTTTCTGCCTCGTTGTTGCTTCCTTCTTTTTTGGTTCAAGGACGTCCACTGCTAAACACTTTCCTTGCTTCCTTTCGTGTGTTTCGTGCGGATTGAGCTGTGTGAGGTTCACTAAAGAGAAAACTGTTGTTTAAGTTACGGCAGATATACCATCTAGTATAGCCGTTAACTTAACAATGTTTACTAAGAAATAATTGGTACAGAGTTTTCATTTTAATTTCCACCACAATTCCAACATGTGCACACTTTTCACTTATTCCTGTTGTTGATTTCCAACTCAATAGCCTCCATTTTAGCTGTAAAAATATGGTTATCAAGATTGTTTTCGTTTAGACATCTTTTCCAACTGCTTAGGGGATTAGCGCCCACTCAAGAAATTGAAGAGGCTGGGAAATTGGGCAGGATTATTGAATTGCTCACTTGGCCCGCGAATTCTCACGAATGTTTCGACGGAGTGGATTTAATTTGGGTTTTATTGTGGTCCCGCGCTTTCCCTCCATCCATTCATAATGAGCTGCTCCCCCACTTCAGATCTAGGCTCGACATTCATATACTTCTGTAATTTTGAACAAGAACTGCCTGAAATTCGCGTACTCTGTTTGCCAAATGGCATTAACCGGGGAAAATTGCAGGGGAAGCGATCCCAGGGGCTTTGGGTGTTGCGTGTAACAAGTGTGCGGAGGCTCGCATTCCACTCATATGGCTAACTGCGACTGTATAAGGCGATTCCCGTGCAAATGATAAGAATATTGCTGTCGTAAAGGGCGGAGGGGTGTGGCTGGGGAAGGGGAAGGGGGAGGGGGGAGGGGGCTTTCTGCACGCGAATGAAACGCAGATTAAAACTGCGAGTAGGTATGACAAAGGGCATTTGCCCAGACATATTTAGCAATTAGGGAATAACCCCCAAAGACCAAAGCCCAAACACAAGACAACTCGAAGGCGAGCAAACAAAAACAAACCACCGTAAAAACACTCAAACTCGTTAAATTCGAAAAGAAGTGGGGGAAGTTGCTTCGAACTTCTACGAATCGCTTGCTTATACGGCCTGTGTATAACAGTTTTTCTGCATGAGTGTCTTCTACAAAACGGGTACTGTTGTAGCCTTATACGATTCCTACTAAAGGCCTAGTTTAACTTATACTTATACGAGAGTTGGCATGTGGGCTGTCACTTATACGCAGGCCATCTTGCTTTGTTTGCTTATACTTTCATATACAGCGGAATAGCCTTTGAATACCAGTACAAGCTGCCTTTACTATGAGACTTATACTTATATTTGTGCCAAAACAGCTTCGAAGACAACAAGCGCTTATAAATGTTCCTAAATACATAGTTTGGGTAACTAACATGAACCTTTTTTAAAAATTATAAATATAGTAGATTACATTTTAAATAAATTTAGCGTTAAAGGATTTCCTTTGATAAAAAAATATTCTGTTATTCTTTGTTTTTAAACTACGTTTACTCGTATACATTTTGGCCCTTATACGAGCTTATACTCGTATATACTTATAATTCAGACTAACATAGCTGCATAAGGAGTGATGTTTTCTTTTTTAAGTCAAACACCTTAAACAAGGTTTATTTTTAGCTGTTTTCCCTAAGTTGTATTTCTAGAATTATTTTATTTATAAAGGATAGCTAAACTTATACAACAACATTTTAAATTGGTATCAACTGCATAAGTCAAGGTTTTCTAAGTTATAAAACCAATTATGTTAGTCTTAAATAATAAACATTTATTTACTATTTTTTTACATTTATTTTATAAATTGTTCTCAGTAAAAAACGAAAGTTTACTTATCTATCATTTGATATTTATTTCTTGACAAAGTATTTTTTTTCTTATATTTATGCGCTTATACCTATTTATGGACGCATACTCATATTATTAGTAGTAGAAAGGTCTCGGAACACACGAAGAACACAAGTAGAAGACCAGACGCACCGCATCTCATAGATATACGAACCAGTTTAGTCTTATACCTCTTGCTAACTTGTGAAGAGCATATCTGTTGTGTCACTCGATGGCATGCTTATGCTTATACGAATGCCACCCCCAGATGCCGCCGAATGCCACAGTATAAGTGCACGAGAACAACCGGCTTGGGTTCGCACGGCGGCGGCTACAACACTCACGCAGCACTCGAAGCATCGGTGGCAGCAACAAACAAAGTGCTCGAAGCGGAGTGTTTACAGACGGCTCTTGTGCTCGCTCTTATACAAACATGCGTCTATATCTGGACGTAGCTCTCCGGGGCGACTCGCTCTATCTGCACGCTGCCGAATCGGAGATGTACTGCACAGATACTCGTGCCGTGGGTCCGAGGTTTTAGTTCGGTTTTAGCCCTGATTCCGTGAGGACGCTCGCCAGGCGCACCGCTCCGCGTTCCGTTCCGTTTCGTACCGTACCGTACCGTTATTCGACTGGCTCGCACGGAGCCTACCGCTCACCCACACTCCTGCAAGTACACTCGCACACAGACGGGGAGCACTCGTGCCGCGATAACAACGCCAAATTATCGAGTCTGCGCCAACATCCAGCGGATGGCAAGTGCGAATCTTAAAGTGGCCAACTGGCAGTCCTAGACCAGGCCGAGAACCCCTGCCCCCTTGTGCTTTTCTATCGCCATCTCCCCTCCCTTCTGTGCCCCCTTTGCTACAGCGGGTCATGTGAACAGCCGCCACAATGCGGCGATAGCGAAACGCCAATTGAAATCGCGACTCCGCGGGTGCAACAAATCCAAATCCAAGTGACCAGACAAAAAGTGCTCCCAGTGGTGACCCAAAACAAATGTGTCGCACCAACAGCTGGAGTGGCAGCAACGGTAACTGCTGCTCTTTATAGTGCAACATCGGGCCTCATCCCCCCTCTCATTCGCTCCCAGAACAGTCCGCTAATAGCCAACAAAGCGAGCATAACGGCCAGAAAAATGGCTTTGCAGCAGCAGCAGCAACAACAACAACAGCAACACATCAAGTGGCAGCAACATGCAACAAAGCGACGACGCTGCCGTCAACATTGGATTAAACATCTTCAGCTCTTGGGCCTCGGTAAGTTGACATCTTGACCAGAACGGAGGACACGGAGGATGCAGAGGATGGGTATTGGCCGTGCAACAGCTGTGGCTCATTAGCAGGCATTGCATGTTGCAGGTTGCCAGTCGCAGGTTGCATTCTCTTAATGCACCTTGCGGTTTCGCCAAGCGGAGCCGACCGAAGGGATCCACTCTATTTCCAGGGAGTAGCCATTTGTGGGCGTGGCACCGCCCCAGAAGAAGTTTGGCGGGGAAAGGGAAGAGGGAAAGAGGGAAAGAGGGGGTGCGCCTAGAATGGTAAACCAATTAATAATTACACATTATGCAAGGCAAGAAGGCACCGGACACACGTACCACAACAGCGCTCCACTTCCGCTGCAATCAGACGCATTATCGACAAACAGGTTGAGGAGCCTCAAACACGGGTAAATGGGTGTGGATAGCTGGATTCGTTGAGACTGGGAAACTGGGAGCTGGCAACCGGTACTTGTGTGTCATGCACTTGTGGTCTTATCGGGCTTCCGCCCCTCAATCCCAGAGCAGCAGCTTTAGGCCCCCGCCCCCCGCTCGAAAAATCAGAAAAAAAAATATAAAACAGCAGAAGCAGAAAGACAAGCAGACAATCGAATATAATTTACAAAATATTGTGTCGCCGCCCACAGTTCGTTTTTGGTTTGGTTTTTTTGGTTCGCTTGGGGAGCAGGTTTGTTGTTTTTTCCCAGCGCATGACATTTGTGGGCGTTTGTGGGGACCGGGGTCGGAATGGAAGAGGATTACACAGTACGCCCATCATTAAAAGCCTAATAAACTAGGAATAGGGATAGCAACTGGAAGACCCAGACCAATTAGTTGCGAAGCACCTGGCCAAAAACCGAGCCACGCCCCCTGGGAAAAGAAGGGGAATTGAAGGGGGGGTGGAAAAAAACAGCAGCCAAATCAAACACGAAAGCGAATCAAAATCAGAGTCGGAAGTCTATCTAAATGTAGGCTTGTTCTCGTACGTGTATATATAGATATACGATATATGTATATCGCAGTGTGGAAAAAGGAAAAGCATGTATTTGTCAGCACAAAATAATCAAGGATCATAATATGTCAACAAACAGACAGGCCAGGCTAAGGCGACCAAAAAAAAAAAAAAACAAAAAAAAAACAAGCACAAGGACACACACGAACGCAGAAAAGTTGCGTCTGTCTGTCAACTGTACGTGTGAGAGTGGCAGTGTGTGAGTGTTTCTGTGTGTGTATGTGTGTGTGGGTGAATCCCTTGTCCGTGTGAGGGTACAGAATCAGAAAATGTATGCCACCAGAGCAACTGAAGCAGAATTCACAGCAGCAGGAGCTGGAAAAGTGTAGGACAAACACGCAGTAACAGATATATATATATATACAGCACACAGTGAGCCATGTGTTGGTGCAGTTAGAAAAGCGGGAAAAGCGAGGGAAAGCGGGGAGGGGGGAGTGTGGAAAAGTCGTCGCGACTTGTCGTTTTTGTCTCTGACAGTTGGCAAATGTAGTGAAGTGCATTGACAATACCACGAACCAAGTACAGCTTGACCAGAGCGCCATCAATGGTGGGTGGCACAGGGAGGAAAAGGAGGAAAAGGAGCAGAAGGAGCATTCTGTGGCCGCCACTTGAGGGTCTGCGCATCCTTCTCCCCTTCCAATCCTTCTCAAAAGGCCAGAGTGTTAAGCACACAGGGTGCGGGTTCGAGCATATAGATTATCTCTTTACGGCAATCTCCTGGAAGCCATCTCCAGGAAGCATCGCCTCCACTGCAACTGACTTGTGTGCGCCTGTCATTTTCGAGCTGGTTCAAAGTTAATTGCGCTGCCCTCTCTACACAAAAAAAAAAAAAAAGAGGAAGGCGAGAATCTCTGCCCAGATTGCGGACGCAAGTGTGGGCAGCTGGGCAAAAGCAAAAAAAAAGAAGTGAAAAAGCGAACTGAAAAACGCCCATGTTTGGCCCAGACTCGGCTACTTGGCTTAACGAGCCACGGGCCACCGCAATCCACAGTTTAGAGTTCGCCGCAGTTGGACAGTGGATATTTGCCGCCTTAGCAGCACCTTGAGTCCGCTAACCAGTTCAATATTGACTCAGGTCGCCCACACGCCCCCAAAAACCGCCGACTGAAGCTGGGGTCCAAGCTCAAAATACGACAGCGTGGGCTGGGCGAACTTACGTAATTGTAAATCAAATGAGGTCTCCCCTTTTGCTTTGGACAGATAATCCCAGATTGGCGAAGAAATATCATCTGAATTGGTCTGCAATCTGAAGCGAAATTGAAAGTGTCAAGGGAAAAAGAATCTGTGAATTCGACGACGAGAATTTATTTATAAATATTGTTCGCAATGAGATAAATTTATTGTCAATATTCATCTTCAATACAATCTGGTTTTAATAGTCAGAGAATAAAACATTTTTGTTAACATTTGTGTAGCTTGATAACTTTGTTTTAAGTTTCTTCCTTAATAGCTTAAAACAAGATAGAAATTTTAATCTTTGAGCTCAGACAAGAAACAGTTTAGTTATTTAATTTATTAATACATAATTTACTCATTTATTCGTAATTAATTATTTTGCATACTACACCTTTTTAACTGCAATTAAATTTACACAATGTGGCTTGGGTTAGAAGGTTTCGATAATTGATAAGGTGATATTTATTGCGAACTACGATTTAGACTGCTATAATATAAATCTAATTAAACTAAAATCCAGCCAAAAATTATTAGACTGATTTTGAGATTTGAATAAATGTGCTAAATGGTTCCCATAAATTGTTAGATAAGCTGATTAAAACAGAATTCTGCGTTCCTGATTTAAGGGCATCTGCTGGTAATCCTTAAATGTTATATTGATTTATTTCAGTGCCAGTGTTTTTCGTGTGGATTTATAATTAATATCTTTCAGTTTATTTGCTTACTAAAAAGATGTACACTTTGAATTCAACCAAAATCTCATATTTCCCTGGCGGATTATCCTAGATACAAGCAGGATTACTGAAATGGTACGAAGATTGTTTTTAAAAAGCGAGAAACCATACGAAATCATCTTTGTTTTGCTGGTGCTCAGTGTGTGTTTGTTTGTCGCTCGGCTAAATTTAACCGAGACCGAAATAGACATTGCATTGGCCATATCGAGACTGCTTGTTGACAGAAAGATGAAACTAAATTAAATGACGCACATGTGTGAGCGAGTGCATAAATAAATCGACAGCATGTGGCAAGGTGGACAGATTGAGTGCGGGAGTTGGGATTCTGCGGCAGGGGAAAACCGAAAACCATCGGGAAACGCCGGCCTCTTGAAGTCGCCACAGAGTTTGAACTCCCGCTGCGTCGAACGATCGTGGCATGTGGTAATTGCCCCTGGCCTCGGATATACTAATATGTGCATATCCATATCTATAATAGTGCTACCTAGCCGGGATTTATGGGTTCTTATGGTAGCACATGCGAAGACCCCTTGCTACGGTTCACCGAATTTCGATGGAGTTTCGGAATTGAATGTTGTGGGTTTAAAGTGAAACCAGGAGCGAGAGCCATCGCGATTTTCTGGCTGCTCTGGCTGTTGTGGATGTTCTGGCTTTGGCAGATTAAGAATGAATTTCAATTAGCAGGATACCCATGTACATATGTGCACAGCTCAAAGGGGCTGCGGCAGGATATTAGCAATGTGCAGCCTGGCGTGCTTCCTACGCAGAATATTTCCCCACCGAAGGATGCGGCGGATGGCTGGCATAGATGATTGCTCCCGAATCCACGCCCCCTTCACCTCCGCCTCTCCACTTCTCCACTCCTGGCGATGAGTGACTTTGATGGGTTTGCCAGATATTGATGCGAATTGATTTGGTTAGTCAGCTGTCGGACAGCCGGATGCCCACCATCGCCGGCAAACCGACAGTTGAATGAATAAATAAAAACGGCAAATCAAGCAAGATGCCAAATGAGGCTCGTCATAGACAGGATGAAATGAGCTGGCAGCCTGGGCGGTGTCCTCGAAACGGAATACATTTAATGGTCCTCTTCTCGTGCGGCTCACTGGAGTAATTGAAAAACCATTTCGGTTTCAAGGTGAGCCCGAGGGCCAGACATCGCCATCGCCATCGCCCGTCGCCATCCAAAGCCAGGCGATGGCTTCATCGTGCTGCTAATTTAAATTTATGAATTTTTGGAAAACATCTCAATGCGGGCTTTTCAGGCGGCCCAAAGTGGAGGCTTCCTTCCACGCACTTTCACTTTTCTTGAGTATTTAATCAAGTGTGAATAATTGCATCATTCTGCTCAAAGGGAGTCGATATCCTCCTTTGTGTTTGTGCGCCAACAGATACGAGCCCCCAGCCAGTCCGCATGTGTGTGCGTGTGTCTGTGTGCTAAAGGACCTGTTATCGATATGTGGGCCAAGAAACCACACACACACACACACACACACACACACACACACACACACTCGCACTTTCGAAATCAAATTCAAAGAGAGCCGACAGAGTTTTCACTTTATTGTGGTGGCAACTTGCATATTTTTACCTTCCCTTAAAATTGTGATATTGAAAAATGAATATTTTATCAGCCCGGGCAAATATTTATGGATGTACTTCTGTGGCCTTCCATCTCGCGCTTAATTGAAGCGGCAGCTGCCGCGCAACTGGAAGTGCAACAGCCACGGCTCGTAATTCAGCATCTGCCTAATTTCGCTCATTTTCGAGACGCGTGTCTGTGTCTAACCGGTTGCCCATTAGCTCGTGGCAGCTTCAGCTTCAAGTCAACATCCAGCAGCTTGGATCGACAGCTGCAGGTGCCACTAGTTGCAGTGGCAACAGAGCTTCTGACTTTCCGACAACAGTCCCATCGCCGCAGGTTTTAGATCTCTGAATGCACCGCGAGAAAGTTTTGGTTTCATATAAACTGCCCACCTTGGTGAGCACTGACCTCAAAGTAAACATCATTTAGGTTTAATAAAGTTAAAGAGTGATTTTTTATATTATATTATAATAATAATAATATTTATATTATTT